TGAGACTTATTTTGGTGTAAACAACTCACGTTTGATTAATTCCCACAATTACAAGTTGTTAAATTGAGAGAATAAATGTGTGGACAAATATTTTAGACTTATTTTGGTGTAGACAACTCTGTTTGATTAATTCCAACAATTACAAGTTCTCAAATTGAGAGAATGAATGTATGGACAAATATTAACCATTATATTTGTGAGTAAATACCTGTCGTTTAATTAATTTCCACCTCTACAAGGTTGTTAAATTGAAAGAATAAATGTGTCGACAAATATTTGATACTTATTTAGGTGTAAGAACTCGTGTTTGATCAACTTCCACCATTGCAAGTTGTTAAAATAATGAAATAAATATACTAGTATCATTGGATATTTGATTTAATTGTGAAACTATTAACAAAATGTTAACTGCTGAATTCGAACCCTCAATCAACAATTCCGCAGACACCACAGAAGATGTTGTTCTGTTGCCTGAATTGTTTTCGTAATATAGGGAACGCCATCGACACTTCAACAAAACTTACCTTGACTTGGGTCTTGTTTATCTCTTGTCACAATCTGGAAACTGTGCTTTGTTTTCTTGTTACGGTTTTAGGGATTTCAGTTTATTTTATTTACGTTTTTACGGTAGCTCTGAGCGGGACTCGAACCCACTGTCCTTTCAAGCTAATTTTGTTTTATTTCAATGGCACTCTTTTGTACCACGCCACGACGTTGGTCGTTAAGTGGTGATCATTTTTTTAACTACTCTAGTGTTCCGAAGAGTTGAACGGGAAAACCAAAACGATCGCTGGTTTCTGATTGCTTTGGTTCTGGTGAGTGTGTATCTAGTGTGATTCGAACCCATGTCATTTGTATTGGGCGTTTTTTTATTTCCCATGTTGGCTACGCCGTAATATGCAACCACTTCCACTTTATTGTGATTTTGAGAGTGTTCAATGATGTCTTTCTCGCCTGTCACGCCATGACCCAGTTTCAACCACACGGCCATTTTGCAACAAAGTGCGTGACCCTCGGCATGACCCGACTGACTATATGATCGTTCTGTTCAACTGTTAAGCTTGGATTTTATTACTGTTATTATCATTATATTGTTACGTGATTTGTTTTACCTTATGTGTAATGTCTTAAGTATCTTTATTGTAATTTGTATATACCAATTCGTATATACCGAGGAAACGACCCCGATTGAAGGTCATGTATTTTGTGACGTCACCAATTTGTGTGTAGGTACGGCTTCTAGAACCGTGCCCCCTGCACATCATTTTATTTTTAAAATCTGATTCAAAATGGCTGACAGGCGGCCATTTTGTTTTAATGAATGTGGTTCTAGAGCCGTATCCCTGACATGATTTGAATGATTATGTTCAAATTTTATATATTCATTCTACATCATGTTATAGTTATACAGATGTATTCAAAATGGACAACTAGTGGCGATTTTGATGCCATTCCACAGCAATATCTCTCAATATGGACAGAGGTACATTACTTGGGGTTTGCAACTATGGTGACATGATACCAAGATCCCGTTACAATCTCGCTCTCGCATAAGCGTTCAACCTAAGAAAAATGCGAATGTGCATGCCCGAGGTAACTAGGATACTCGGATGTCCAGGTGGATCAAAATAGCTGCCCACGATATGACCGATTACGAGAACTATATTTTCTGTACATTTTCGATGTATTACATTTTTGACTCCCATGTGCGAAGCACATAATGGGAGTCTTTGCAGTTAGTGTGTCTGTATGTGTGTATGTGTGTCCAACTGTTCCACTGCTATCTCAAGAACCATACATCGGTTTTTGATGAAACTTGGTGCATAGATGCTCTGGGCCAATGCGCAGATTTGATTAGGTTTTGGTAAAAATCCATGCTCGTTAATTACCTAATTTGCATGATAATTAGCTAATTTTTAGCTGTTCTATGACTGTTCCACTGATATCTAAAGAACCACTCATTGGATTTTGATGAAACTTGGTACATAGATGCTCTGAACATATGCGCAGATTTGAATTGTTTTTGTTAAAAATCCATGCTCGTTAATTACCTAATTTGCATGATAATTAGCTGATTTTTAGCTGTTCCATGATTGTTCCACTGATATCTAAACAACCACTCATTGGATTTTGATGAAACTTTGTACATACATGCTCTGAGCTAAT